GGATTAGCCTAGTGAGCCACAGCGCCGGCCCCAAGCTTTTCAGTTATTATCTACTGCCTCCCAGGATTCATTAGCAGGAAGTTGTATCAGAAGCAAAGTAATTCGGTATTCCAAGCGGCAGGTATACCAAATGATGACTTAAACTGCAGCATCACAGTGCCCATCCCTGCTTCCCATTTTTGAAAGCATTTGTGTACATAGCTATGTTGGTCATTATTGCAGGTCTATATTATTAAAGCCTAAAGTTTCATCTCACATTAATTTAATCAAGACAAAATTTTTAAAGTTGTGAACTCAAAATAGTTATATTCTTAGATCCTATAGAATTTTTTTTGAGTGACCATGTACAATGTGTTGCAATGTGTTGCAATGTGTTAGACCATGTTCAAATACTTAAAAATTTAATCTCATTTACTCCCCATAGTAACTTTACAAAACCATGTTATTGGTTCTATTTTATTAAGGTGGAATTGAGACATAAAAATATTAAGCAACTGGCCTAAATTACATAGCAGAGCTAAAGTTTAAACTACATAGTCCCATAATAAAGTCTGCTAACTTGGAAATTTATAAAGTCAGGGCATGCATAATAAATGGAAATTTATAAAGTCAGGGCATGCATAATAAATAGTAATATTACATTACTGCTGAGCTAGGAAGATACAGTGTTAAGATCATATTCCTAAGTGGCATTAGATATATATAAGTTACTAAAATCTTTATTATGCATGGATTATGTAAAATATTTACCAGTCACCATGATAGTTTAAGTCTACAACAGTCAGAGATTATACTTCACCAATTAAATTTTTAACCTATGAGCTGATGTTTTGATAAGTGGATTAAGCCAGAGCTAACTATATCAGCATTTTATATCTGAGTGTTTATTCCAGTCCCACTGCTCTGTTTTCTGGCATATCTCCATGCTAATGTGCCTGGGAAAGCAGCAGAAGATGGCCCAAGTATGTGGGCCTCCGCTGGACTCAGATGGTGTTCCTGGCTGTATATTTTGGCCTTACCCATCTCAGTTTGTTATGGCCATTTGGGAAGTAAACCAGCAGGTGGAAGATACATCTTTCTGTCTCTATCATTCTGCCTTTCAAATATATATATATATATATATATACACACACACACACATATATATATATTATATGAAGTATATATATTTCTTTAAAAAGTAAAATTTAACTTACAGCTGTATTTATCTTTTGTTTCTATGTGATTTGTTTACTTTCAGACAGTAAGAATGTGTGATTTTATCACCCAGAAGCATCTATTTATTTTAAACTAATCATATACTCAGTATGAATACAAATATAGAAAATTGCCTTTTTATAGGAAAATACAAATATAGAAAAGCTAAACTGCTTTAGTTTCACTATAGAGTGATGTGTATATAAAAGATATATTTTTAGTGTATTAAATTTTAAAAGCAAAGTAGTCTAGTTGTCCCTAGGTGGTAGGGAGCTCATTTAAGCAAATAAGATCTGTGAAAACATGGAGACTATACCATACTTCTCATAAAAATTGCATTTTATAAAAATGACCATAATATAGAATGTCAAAGTTTATAGTTATTTTCATTGGAAGATAAGTCATACGTTTCTATGACTTTGTCTATACCAAAATGTGTCTTCTTTAAAGGTTTATGTGGTTAATTCTAACATCTGCTACAAGTGTTTTTTTTCTTTTTTTTCTTTTCAATCACTTAAATGTGATAGCCTTAAAGTAATAAAACAATATAAATTAAATGAATTGTGTTCATCAGCAACATAAAGATATGAAGTTTAAGTGCCTTAATTATATGATTGTATCTAAATCATGCTGCTTTTGCTGAAGATTTATCTTTAAATATAAAAAAAGTCATTTTATCTGGAAATTTGAGACGTCTGAAAAAGTAATGTTATATACCCCTTGCTCATTTCACAGGGTAAAGGTGTTTTAAAGGTAATTTCACTATTTGTGGGACCCACAGAATAACATACATTGTTTAAAAATTGAATATGTCATCAAAATGCTATTTATTTTTGATTAGCTTATTTTCTGTATATTGTAAGTGAAACAAACTGTCAAGGCAGGTACAAGGTTATATTTTTCAAAAATGTCTATGCTATTTTTAAGGCAAGCAAATATAAAAAAATGAATTACTAAATTGTAATGAACATTTATAAATGCATCTGCATGTAAATGTTTTATATACATATATTTAATGTGGAAATATAATTATATAATATTTAGAAATGATTTTGCAAAGTTGATGATTAAAATGCTTTGTTGTGTATGTTATCACATACTTTTTTTAAGATTTATTTATTTATTTATTTATTTATTTGAAAGTCAGAGTTACAGAGAGAGGAGGAGAGGTAGAGAATTAGAGAGAGATGTTTTCCATCTGCTAGTTCGCTCCCCAGTAGGTCGCAATGGCTGGAGCTGTGCCAATCCGAAGCCAAGAGCCAGGAGCTTCTTCTGGGTGTCCCACGCGGGTTCAGGGGCCCAAGGACTTGGGCCATCTTCTTCTGCTTTCCCACGCCACAGCAGAGAGCTGGATTGGAAGTGGAGCAGCCAGGACTCAAACTGGTGCCCATATGTGATACCAGCGTTGTAGGCAGTGGCTTTACCTGCTATGCCACAGTCCCAGCCCCTATCACACACTTATTTACTTGACAATTTTCCTTAAATACTTTGTTTTTTTTTTGTTTTTTTTTTGTTTGTTTGTTTTTTTGTATCAAGTGACTTCATCTACCTTTGACCCAGATACTGTTGTCCTAGAAGATAGAATTTAGTGAAAATGTATTAATGTGTAATGGATCCAAAGGGGATAGTAAGGGTTTTAGGCAGATATCCATCTTGGTGAGGAGTTAATATCTGTATCTGTATTATATTCTAATTGATGGATCTGACATTTGAAAAGCATTAAATTGCTGATGTACATGTGATGAAATGCCTGTTGTCAGCCTAGCCTAGAGATGAAAACTCTGCCTCATCATTGAAGTTTGATTTTTAAATGATTTGTAGAGAAATGATTTTGAATGCTTGTACTGGGGGTCAAAATTAGAGATCTCATTCTGTATATAAAGATATTTGAAAATGAATCATGATGAAGAGTGGGATGGGAGCGGGAGTGGGAGATGGAATGGTTGCGGGTGGGAGGGAGGTTACAGGGGGAAAAACCTCTTTAATTCAAAATTTGTATTTTGGAAATTTATATTTATTAAATGAAAGTTAAAAAAAATTAGAGCTCTCAGATTTCTATAGTAGCACCCACATGCTAAGTGCTCCTTGAACATAAACCATGCTCAATGATTCAATTTTTTTAGTAAAAAATATTTCATTTTACTTGGGGCCAGCATTGTGACACAGAGAGTTAAGCCACCATCTGCAACACCAGCATCCCATGGGGATCCCAGCTGCTCTCCTTCCGAACCAGATCCCTGCTTATGCATCTGCAAAGCAGCAGATGGCCCAGGTTCTTGGGTCACTACAATGGGAGACATGGATGGAGTTCCAGGTTCCTGGCTTCCTCCTGTCCCAGCCCTGGCCTTTACGGTCACTTGGGGAACAAACCAGCAGATAGAAGATGGAAGCCTCTCTCTCTCTCTCTCTCTCTCTCTCTCTCTCTCTGACTTTCCCTTTCTCTCTCTCTAACTCTGCCTTTCAAATAAAAAAAATTTTTTTAAATCATTTTACTTGATAGACAAAGAGAATCAGAGACAGAGACAGAGATCCTTCATCCCTCATTTACACCGCTATTGTCTGTAACAGCTAGGGCTGGACCAGGCCAAAAGCCAGGAGCCTGGAACAGAATCCAGGTATTCTCTGTCTGTGATTGGGACTCATTTACTTGAGACAGCACCTGCTGCCTCCCAGGGTTCTCCAGGCCTGGGGATATGTATAGCTGGAAATCTGTGCATAAACCATTCCATTTCATGAAGTCCTTCTTTGTATCTTTTTCTTCAGATTCACTTGTCAGTTACTAGCTCTTAGATGATTAATTAACTGTCAGTTGAGCTCGTTCTTTATCCACCACAATTGGACATGCAGAAAAATAATAAAACATAGCAAGAACTATGAGTCCAGCTGGGGTGACAGATCCAACACAGAAAATTTAAGTATAAATTGTTACTTCAGAGTACTACTGAATACAATTTTTTTTTTTTTTTGGACAGGCAGAGTTAGTGAGAGAGAGAGAGAGAGAGACAGAGAGAAAGGTGTTCATTTTTCTGTTGGTTCACCCCCCAAGTGGCCGCTACAGCCAGGTGCTTCCTCCTGGTCTCCCATGCAGGTGCAGGGTGCATGGACCTGGGCCATCCTCCTCTGCCTTCCCAGGCCACAGCAGAGAGCTGGACTGGAAGAGGAGCAACTGGGACAGAATCCGGTGCCCCAACCGGGACCAGAACCCAGGGTGCCGGCGCCGCAGGCGGAGGATTAGCCAAGTGAGCCGTGGCGCCGGCCACTGAATACAGATTTAAGACCACTTACATCCAATTAGCCGAGATATCTTAATACCACACTGCAAGATCTAACAAAACTTTTAGCCACAACTTTATTGGGAGAAAGATCTCCACCTGGCACTCCTGTAGGTAGGTTGTAAAACCAAACACTCCTACGCTGGCAAAAGGCTTCCCTTTTTGGATTGCTGCCATCCCAAACTTGTATTTAAAGTTCACTGAGCCAGGACACTTCCCCATCTAATTCCTTGGAAATTTTGGCCTTCTCTGATAGCTTTAAAATTTCCTTATCCTTTTGGGTAACTTGTGACTACATAATTACCATTGTTCTGCATATTTTTACCTTGAATTTGTATTTTAAAACTAGCACTGGCAAGGTAATAATTCCCAGGCTCTTGTTTTTTCACCCTAGAACTTAGCAAATCATAGGTTATTACTTTCGGTCTCAATTTTTCAAAGTTAAAAACAATATAGTTTTCTGTTTTATTTGGTGTTTGACCTTATTGGATTCTACAATTGTTTAAGAAAACATCTCTCTTATTTTCACAGGTAAAAAGATGGCCTATCAGAAAGTCAGTGCAGACCAAAGAGCTCCAGGACACTCACAGTACTTAGACAATGATGACCTTCAAGCCACTGCCCTTGACTTAGAGTGGGACATGGAGAAGGAACTGGAAGAGCCTGGTTTTGACCAGTTCCAGGTAGAAAGTGCTGAGAATCAGAACCTGGGGCATTCAGAGACTGCAGACCTACACCTTGATTCCATCCAACCAGCAACTTCACCCAAAGGGAGATTTCAGCGACTTCAAGAAGAGCCTGATTTTGTTACACACTATTCCAGATCTGTACCAAAGAGCAACCGCTGCAGCTTCTGCTACCTTTTAAAACTACTTTGCACAGCCATCATTTTATTTATTTTTGGAATTTTGATAGGATATTATACACGTAAAAATTGCCCTTCAGCTGCTACATCGTCAGCAACAGTCGATCCTCAGTTTTACCAAGACATTCTCAAGACGATCCAAGCCGAGGATATTAAGAAGTCTTTCAGGTGGGTGTGGAACAAACAGATGTTGCAGTGAGGGATGGGGGTGGATGATTCATTTTGTGGTAGATGTCTCTCGATGGGCATTGAACTGGCGCTTTTACCGTGGTTTAATTCAGTTTTGTGAGCTGAGAAACAACTTGCCAGCATACCAAGATTAGAAACGCCACAGAGGGTGTGGGCATTTTCAGATTTATGGTACTGCAATACAAATTTATGCTGCTGTTTTATTAATTGACAATAAGAACAATAACTGCTATGGAGACTGCAACCAATGCTTTTTCTTTATTTTGAGAAGCCCAGTTAGGCCAAATTGGGATGTGAAGAATGCCAGATGTACATGTAATAAAAACTAGGGCATTAGCCATATGATTGAAGATTTTAATGACATCAGATAAAATAAACCTGCTTTATGGAGTGAAGTAATTGTCTTCAGTTACTGAGATGTTCACTAGTAATATTTGGCCTCCTACATCCCCTAACTTCCCAGTGAGCACATTTAAAAACACTGGGTCCTACACATCATATAGTTAACCCTATAAGATCATCTCTCTTTTAAGGTGACTTTGTATGCCATGTACCTAGCCAGAATATTGTGATTTGTAAGTTAAATTATAAGAAGCAATTCTTATTCAGGCCTTAGTTATGAGGTCTTGTGTAAAGGCATTCCTGATTTCAGAACTCAAAGAAAACTTGAAAGTGTTGTTTGTGATATTATTAGTATACACGTTGAGCTGTAAAGGGTTTCCTGGTTTATATATTTAGTGAAGTGAGAAACTAGATTGGGAAGACTAGATTTTATATTCCACATGTACTTTCCAAAATATTTGGAGAAACGGGATGCTTCTAAACGAATCATATACGCGTACGTTTTCTGTGTGAAGAGGGAATAGAAAGGTCCTACTTCTCTAAGCTCTTCTTTCTGCATTTTCCTGACTTATGACAGCTGCGATGTTGGCAGGCATGCATTTCTGGGGATCTGCTCAGAAGAGCCTCCCCCTGAAGATTCATGATTTTATTCATGTACTGAAATAAGAAGTGTAATAGTGTTGATACATTCTAGTCTTCTTCCTGAGGATCACCCCTGAGCGCCTGATGGAACTATTTCCCATTGTCTTTGTCTGCTATTCAGTGTTGCATAAACATCTCTGGACTTGTAATGTTTTCATGGCAATGATTTTTATCAGTGATGTAGAATCAGAAATCAATAGGGTAATATGGAGACAGCCTAGAAATGTAGATATCATTATGCCTAGGCTGGAGGGACAAAGGCAATGGGGTATCCTCATAGAAGCTGGAACTTTCTGCATAAACCTGTGCAAGGAGGGATGTAGCTTCCACTGGAGATACAGCTGAAGACAAAGAGAAGGTGAGAAGCGCCCCAGCTTCTCCCATTCTCTTGTTTCCCGGTGTCCTAGCTATTGGCCCATTGGCTGAATCCACCATGAGGCAGCTGACTCAGAGGAACTCATCCTGAGCTTTGGTTCCCTGCAAAACAAGCTGGAGCAGGGAAGGTGCAGAAATCTTTAATAAACAGGTCTAGTGAGCTCAGGGATGCTACTACAAAAACAAAATAGAAGAACCCTATGAAACTGGATTTATTAAAACTTCTTTGCTTATGTCTATACTAATTTCTATATCTCTATCAAAAAAGGATCCATGAGATTAATTACTTTTTAATGAGAATTGTCACTTTCTACTTGAGCAATTGCTTAGTTTTTAATTGGTGGCCACGATAAAACTTATGACCTTGCCTTCTTCCCTCCTTGGCTCCTACTGAGTTGACAGGGAAACTTGTATTTGTGAATTTCATGAGGAACTTCATGACATGCATTTTGTTGGAAACATATTTCTTTGTCATACCTTACTTTTTTCAGTGCTGTATAAACTTTTAAATGTTTACTTCTCTTTGCAAATGGACACTTGATTTTAAAATTTAAAACACATAATTAAAGAATAATATTCCGGGGCCAGCGCCATGGCTCACTTGGTTAATCCTCTGCCTGTGGTGCCAGCATCCCATATGAGCACTGGGTTCTAGTCCCGGTTGCTCCTCTTCCAGACCACCTCTCTGCTGTGGCCCAGGAGTGCAGTGGAGGATGGCCCAAGTGCTTGGGCCTGCACCCGTGTGGGAGACCAGGAAGAAGCACCTGCCTCCTAGCTTCGCATTGGCATAGCTCCAGCTGTAGCAGCCATTTGGGGAGTGAACCAAGGAAGACCTTTCTCTATGTCTCTCTCCCTTACTGTCTAACTCTATCAGTCAAATAAATAAATAAATAAAGAAGAATAATATTCCTTGTTTTCCACATAGGAAGTTGCAAGATGGTGACTCTCAGATTCCCCTCCTGAACCTCAAAATCACAATAATGAGATGTGTTTTTAAATTAATTACAAAAATCATAACCACTAACAGTTGTATTCCCAGTCAGTATTATATTGTTGGACAGAGGTTCATAATTATGTTTTGTCCAATAACCATAGCTTTTTCCTTATGAGATTCCAAACTTTTTTCTCCAGAAATTATTTTCAATATAAATATATTTACAGTTACGTACTTCACATAACATCTCCTCATCAAAGACATTTTCCCTCAATATTCTTGCCAACTGCATTCCTTGTTATGAGTTCCTGTGTTTTACAAGTAATCATAGTCTTAACATTGTAGATCACAGATTCTCACAATAATTTTTCATCAACTTATGATACATCTTGGGTTTATAAAAGCTCACTAACATCTTCATCAGTTGCTATTTCTCCTTGTTGGTTTTCTATTCCTATATAAGCTTTAAAGCTTTACTGCTTCTTGCCAAATACCCTAAGAAATGTGCAATAATAAAGATGTTATTTGTTAAAAATGTCTTTCTTTTAGATTTTTTAATTGAAAAAGATTAATAACATGTAATACACGCATACCTTTGTGGGCAGTGTAAAATATTTCAGCATATAGCATCAACTGATCAAATTTGGTAATCAACTCTCCTTTCTCATGTTTGGATCCTATCAGCTCCTCTCTTCTAGTTTTTTATATAATATATTGTACATTATTGTGAACTATAGTTCCCCTGTTATGCTGGAGAACACAAGAACCTATTACTTCTGTGCTTTGTTATCCTTTACCCAACCTCATTTTCCCCCTCCTGCTCCCACTCTTTCTAGCCCTGGTAATTACAATTTTGTGTTCAGAATGACTTTTTAAATTTTTTTTGAAATTGCACATATGAGAGAGAACATGCAGTATTTGTTACTAGATGTCTGTTTATTTTACTTAATATTGTGACCTCCAGTTCTATCCATTTGACTACCAATGTCACTGTTTCATTCTTTTTTTGTGGCTGAATAATATTCTAATTTATATATAGTTTCTTTACACAATCATCCATCAATGGAAATCTAGGTTGATTCGCTACCTTGGCTATTATGAATATTGCTACAGTGAACATGTGAGTGCTTATATCTTTTTCATATGTTCATTTCTTTTCCTTTAGATATTTACAATGAAGTCAGGTAGCTGGATCCTATGGGAGTTCTGTTTTCAGTTTTTTGAGGAATAGCCATACTGTTTTCCACATTGACAGTCTTAATTTGCATTTCCACCAAAAATGTATCAGGGTTCCCTTTTCTCCATATCCCCATCAACATTTGCTATTTTTGTCTTTTTTTTCATAGCCATTCTTATTGCAGTGAGATGATATCAGACTGTGGATTTGATTTGCATTTTTCTGGTGGCTATTTTTTCTTATCTTTGTAGGCCATTTGTATTTCTTCTTTGGAGAAATGTCTATTTAGAGACTTTATACATTTGTAAACGGTATTAACTGGTTTTGGTTGAGGTTTTTGAGTTCTCTATTCTGGATAATAATCTTTTGTCAGATAAATAGTTTGCACTATTTTCTCTCATTCTCTTGTATGTTTATCCTATTTATTGTATTCTTTGCTGTGAAGAAATTCCTTCCTTTCATACAATCTCATCTTTCTAGCTTTGCTTTTGTTACCTGGGTAACAAAGCTTCTGGTGCTTTACCCAAAAAAAGTGTTGCCATTTTGATGCCTTGAAATGTTTCCCATGTAGTTTTTCCTAGTAGTTTCATAGTTTCAAATGTTACGAGATACTCTTTTTCTGTATCAGATTAAAGTTCCATGAGGAATTAAACCAAATTTCCTTTGTCCACCATTAAATCTCATTATCTAGCAGATGTTAAATAGGTATTTTTATTTTTATTTTTTAATTAATTAATTTATTTATTTTTGACAGGCAGAGTTAGACAGTGAGAGAGAGACAGAGAGAAGGGTTTTCCGTTGGTTCACCCCTCAAGTGGCCACTACAGCAGATGCATTGTGGCCGGTGCGTTATGCGGATCCGAAACCAGGAGCCAGGTGCTTCCTCCAGGTCTCCCATGCAGGTGCAGGGGCCAAGGACCTGGGCCATCCTCCACTGCACTCCCGGGCCAGAGCAGAGAGCTGGACTGGAAGAGGAGCAACCGGGACAGAATCTGGCGCCCCGACCGGGACTAGAACCCAGTGTGCTGGCGCCGCAGGCAGAGGATCAGCCTAGTGAGCTGCAGCATCGGCCTAACTAAGTATTTTTAAAGGATGAAATGAATGCATGAATAAATGAGAAATATATATGCTAAATTTATCAATGATATAGTTTGAAAATTGTCTTACTGTGTAGATTTCTCATATTATTTTGTTTAAAATATGAGTATAATATTTATATTATGTATTTTACTATATTTTAAAATTTATAATTACCAAGAGGATATGCTGTTATGATTTTGAATAAGTGATCATTCATATCAAAACCAGATGAAGTAAAAATAGTAAATTATCACTACTTATGTCTCAGATCTGACTGGGGGATTAGGACAATTGATGCTACATTTAAGACCAGCATCCCATTTGCAGCCTGTGAGAAGTTAGAGAAACTAAGACTTAGAGGTGTGAAGAGGAAGAGGAAACTTTTAGAGAGAGCTGCTCATGTGCTAATGTTAGTCCCAGTCTCTTCTC